CACAGTATATCAGTCAGCGACGTTAGACAAAGGAGACATACACAATACACGCACCTGTTTGACCGACAGAAGGGAATCTCTATGAGAGGGAGTTGGAGGAGTAGACATAGGTCGGACGATCGTGCGAGGAGAGAATAACCCAGCGTTCTCTTCGATGATCACGGATTTCTCGTCATCCTCCGCTGGTACGTCCTCGACGAGCGTATCACCTGGAGAACCAATCTCCGCTAAAGTCCTGCCATCAAGGATCCGATGGGCTTTGTACGATTGCTCGTATTCCTTTGTATGGATAGTCAAATCTCGGACTTGGCGATGCTTTCGTCGATGCGAGCGACGACCTCCTTGAGCAGGTTCGGGTAGAGGTGAATTAGGAGCAAGGGAAGCAAAGGTGGAGGCAGGCGAGGGCGTGCTGAGATAGAATGGTGACACCGGCGAGAACAACGGCTGGAACATGGGAGGGTGGTAGGTCGCAAATTGAACAGTGGGAGAGCCGAATTCGGCGAAGCAGCTATTGCACGCCGTATCGAGTTCTACATTGTGGTCCGCATTCAGTTAACAATGGAGTTCCGGTGTAGTAAAATTGACAGGGAAATGATGTTGACCTACCTGCGTCTTGCTCCGGATGAGCATATTTGCAATCTACGCCGTCGGAGCATTGTCCTTTCAGATACTGCTGACAGACTTCACCTACATGAGTCAACGCGGAAGCAAACTCAAAGTCAACACTAATTCCATATGAGGGTAACAATAGAGAAGCAAGATTGTACTTACGGTTCCCACCCATCATGACTCCTCCACCGATAACACGCCACGAAATGGGGCGAAAGTTTTTCCTGTCTTCCGATTGACTTACCTTCTCTGTACCGTCTGTTGAGGGAGAATCGGCTGGAGTCACTTCCTCGTCGACCTTCCCGTCGTGTTCGCTGAACGAGTGGCGCTCAGAACAGCGAGAATAAGACTGACGAGAAGAAATGGAGGAAGCTGAGAGTTTGCGAGGTGTTTTGCGAGTTCGAGAACGAGGCGGAATTCTGTCTAGAGGATCCCGACAGGCAAGCGCTGCCATAAAATCTGCTTTCGGTGATTCATGAATGCTAGCAAAAGAAGTTCCGTCAATATTAACTTCATCGTGAACGAGACAAGCAAACTCACTAGTTACACCGGACGCCTTTACGGCATTGGCCATTGTTGGCATAGAAAGCGCAGGGTTTCGCTACGCAATGTAGTTAGAACAAACGTCTCTTTCAAGCACAACGCCAAAAGAACTCACTCTTCCAAAGGTTTCCAGAGTCCACCACGGATTGAGAGCGATTACGATTTGACTGTCCTCCATCATTCGATGACGAATCAATTGAGTTGCGAGTGGTGGTGATAACATCCGCGGCGCTGCTCCTGCGGCCAAACGGCTGCATGAGGGAAGCTTTGAGAGGGATCGGTGCAACCATTGGCGACTGAGTGGCGTGAAGTTGAACATTGAACATGGCAGGAGTGGTGGGTGGCACAGGCGGTAAACCACCTTCATTATCACCACGAGTGATCGCGATGTTCTGTAACGCTGCACTCACATCGTCCATTGGCGTTGAAAGCTCTGTATACTGCGATGAAGGTGTCGTAGGTGCATAGTTAGCGAAACAATGTGGTACGTATTGAGGGGTGAACATTGTGAGATTGTTGTGTTTGGGAGACAGTCGTGGAGGAGATGATTCGTATACGACCGAACTGGAGAGAGGTGATGGTGTATGACGAGGGGAAGAGGTACAGATCGAGGTCGAGCTATCTGGGTGTATATAAGCACAACCGTCGCCAAAGGGACAATGGCCCGCTGCAAAGTTCTTGCACAGTTGGGCTGTGTTCATTATGAGAACGGCTCGATATAGCAAATACTGAGGAGGCATACTGCGATAGCGAGGGTGTTCTTCAATAGCGGTAACAGCACGTGCACGTTTTCGGCGGGAGCGTTTTAGCCCGTGGCTATCCCAAGTTGGATGAAGTATAAGGGGTGAACCCATTGAACGAATACGAACGTCCTGTAAGAGTGCAGTGAGTAGTTATACTTTGAAGATACCTTGACAAATCTTACTCACGAAGGTTTGGAAAGAATTAATGAAAGAGGACTAGAGGGGGAATTGGATTTAGAGATACCGTAGGGATTGTGGTTAGTTGAAATAGAATAACGGGGCAATTTATGGAGCGTCGGAGGTTCAGGAAACAGGTGCGATCGTGATCGAAAGTGCTTGACAAACAAAGAAAGGAACCGGAAAAGCGGAATAATCAAACGCAGAAAATGCAGGGACAAAGTTGATATCAACTGAGACGGCGGGATTGTTATGGGACGAAGGTACGAAAAGACAAGGGCTTCCCCTTCACACCCCATCTCGCTTATAACCCACTCACGTAGAAATCACGATGTCCATCAGCGTGCCTCAAGTGAATGGTCAGTTAAAATTCGAGTGCGCGCGACGCAGAAGGGGAGCTGGCCCGAGCTTAGGTCATCTTGAAGTATGTCTGTACAGAGAGCGAACCCTTTTGTTGCGAGTGATCTGGCGGGCTTGAAGGGGTGTGCATGATGATACTCATTTCCGAGAGGCGAGATCGAAGATGGAAGAGACAATAAGATGGGAGAGCGGCTGAACACGTTGTCCCCCGTCCTAATTGTCGCGCTTCGGCGCGAGACCCTGGGGCGGGGCTTAGATTGATGAAGCTGGCCAAAGGTGAGCGCATAGCGACAGCATCCGGCCAACAGAAATATCTTGCTATACAAGGAGAAAGCTAGAGAGGAATCAGCTGCTGTACAGAACGTCTGAGATATACCTGGTGTCTCATCAAATCTCAAGGAAAACTTGTTTTGTGTACACCTTCCTAAAACGGATACACCCACGTGGATTTTGATCGACCCCTTTGGGAAGAAGGTTCCACAAACGAGCTCACAATAAGGACTACCACATGCGCAAAAAGAGAGATGGACAGCTCTGAATCTATGGTATACTTTTCCCCCTGATCATCCTTTCCTGACTGAAGAAGATACGCTGCATCATAACCCCAAACTTGCATGTTTGAATACTTGACAGTGGACTCAGTTCTCGACGCAGATACCAGTCAGAATCGGTCTCGACCATTCGTTCTTCGTACATGGGCCATCACTTCCAGACGGCCATCGCCATTCATGTGGCCATTTCGATTTGGAATACCACGTTCGAGTGGGCCTGGATACATCTGTCATGTCCGCACCCTGTGAAACAGACTGTGTACACAGCGATTGTTCTATTTCTGCATTCTGAGAATAAGTTGCACGCATTCTCGAAACGACTGCGCCTCTAAACGCCGCGGTGACGACCTGAGGTGACTCACATTGGTCTTAGAGTGCAGGTGAATAAGCTAAGCTGAAGCCTGCTGCCTCTTCAAGCCTCCGCCGCTTACGTCAAAGCGCGAACGTGGACAAACTGTGCAATTGTCTTGCAGTAAGTTCAATCCTCATTCATAACTAGGAATATATCGGAAAGTGTCATTAGTGCTTTCTCAATTAGTCCTATAAAACAAAAGTGAATTTACGTGCCTGAACTGTCCGGCGTAAGATAGGTCAAATGGCGCGCAAACGATGACAACGTCCTCGTCAGGGTCATGGCAAGGAGCGGCACCCAGAGAGAAGTCCGAAGGGCCATAACAAGCACACACATTGTCTGAGTATGTTGTCCGAATTTCTCTCCTCTTCCCGTCCAAGAATGATTACCCAAAAGAACAACAGAGATCACTGAACACCTGAAAGCGGTGTATGTCGTGAGGTGTTCAAGCTGATGGCACAGGCTTTGTTCAGATTGGAACGCCTGGCAACCCATTCCGAACAGCGATTTGGACAAGGCGTAGGTGGCGTGGACAGGCCGAAGTATGGAGACAATCCATCGATGGAGTACAGCAACTCGACAACCATATCCGAGCTCCCGAAGTGATTGGTGAACCCGCAGGTCATGCAGAGGAATGAGCAGGAGATAAAGATGGCGGATGGATAGGTATAATTGTCAAGACTGAGTACTCGACGGAGAGGCGGTCCTGGTCAATGTCCGACGGATCTTGAAGCACTACGTACCATCGATATAGCCAAACCCACCAGAGATCATACAGAGATTTGAGGCATTGCGGAAGAGATGGGCGAGGTTCCGAAGTACATGCACATCCCGCCACAGATTCAGGTCACGGGGAACATGCAAGACCCGGAGCTCTGACAAGCGGTCACGGCAGGTGGCAGCTGGAAGCTCTCTGCAGTCAAGAGTAACTGAGCAAGACAATGAAATTGTCCATTCGGGGCAAAGGGGCGTAGCCAGAGAGCGGACATTTCGGAGAACTGGAAGACGGAGGATCGAAGACCGTAAGAGTACTAGCTCCTACAATGATGGTCAGACATAGGTACCAGCACCCGATTTCATAGATAAACCTAGACTATGGATGTCTAATCGCGCCTTACTCGACGAGGTTAGTCTTTGCTGGTTGCCAGGGACGCCGTGCTGACAATTTCATGCAGCAGCTTGGCGGTGTTGAGTAGAAGTAAGTTGCTGGGTAACGTCGTCATGGATGTTTTCTAGGGCCAGCTTGATTTAGTACCCGTCGCAACTGCAACGATGGGCCTTGAAAAAAAGGTTGAGTTAGTAAACCTGTGAGACGGCACTACTACTCGCACTCCCAATCTTCTGTGTTTCTGTAGCGAGATTCGGAAAAAGGCTCTGGGCCAGTATCCCTCCACGATGCTAAAGGTGGACCCACCGGTGCAAGAACAGTACATGTAAGGCTCGGCAACCGAGCGAACATAGTACCTTGGTCGGGCGGTGGATCATTCACTTGTGTCGTGCGTGTAGCACCTCTGATTACTTGATTGAAGTTGGATGACCCTTGGGTCGGTACTACTACGCGTATACGTGAGCGGCGCCGCGCTGCCTGCGGAGGTAGCAGGCTGGCAGCGAGCAAAAACTCAGCAAGGGTCAGTTGCAAGGAAAAAGAGACGAAGATTAGCTCATAGCCCACCGCGGGGGTCGAACCCGCAGCCTTCAGATATTATTAATCCGTCCCGCACGAACAGCTTTAAAAGTCTGACGCTCTATCCGATTGAGCTAGGCGGGCATGTAGTTTTTGCTTTTAACAAAGCACATATCTTGTCTGGAGACAATCCAAATTACATTGTTGATTGTCGAAGTTGAACGTTGGACTCTCAACTTTGTGACTACAGAGAACAATTATCTTCCCTGTGAATGACTCTGGAGGAGACGTACTCTCACTGGAATCTCCGAATCCTGGTCCACGTCGCCCATGGGAGAGGAGTCCGCCCATTTTCGTGCTGCCCACGTCCATTGAACGTTGGAGAACACTGACTGGATGCCCCTGGTACCCGTTTAACACCTCACATTATACGTGGCGAATGACACCCAACTTGTCGACCTACTCAGTCTCCCAACCGCAGACGAGACAGACAATTATTTCCTCGTCCCTCGGATGTCTGTCTGACGACCGACTAGCTCATAGACGGCTCTTTTGATCACTGCGTTTGCGCATTTTGCGAACTTTACTGGTGACTGATTCAGGAGTCAAGACTTATTCATCTCTTCGTCACTTCGTGCTATCAATCCGACGTGTATCTGATCGCTTGATTTTGGTAGAATCAAACGATCACTGGGAACGATGCGATGCCTCAAAACTTGTCTTCGTCTGGATCGTCATACCGTGTCATACCGTCCCTCGTATGCCTTCCTTGAACTACCGCTCCCAAACATTATCATTGTCGCCTGGTTCCTCTCCCCTTCTTCTGATGAGCGTTATACCGTCCTCGATGGGGAGCATGACAGCGTCGATATCCCCGTGCTCGCTTTTCCTCAAAAATCAGACATTTTCTCATTGCTGCTTGTGAGGAACTGTGCTCACCGAACGTGTTTATTGAACGCATCAATGTCCTTGCCTTGTGGATACCGTTCATCCGGGGCCCATGGTGCCCCCTTGTATGCTGTATTGTCTACGACGATCATCCCCCCTTGTGCCAGAAGGGATTGGTACGAAGACCAGCCACCGCTGTCGCTGCATCCGGACATGCAGATGTTGAGGTACTGACGGTAAGACGGCTTGTCCGCATCTATGAATATCTACTCACGCCCATCGTCAGAATGATATTAAGTAGTGGGCAATGGCAGTACGAAGTATCGTACCATATCGAACTTTTCGCCTTCTTCAGCTAGCTCCTCAAGGACCTCCATTGCATCACCTATCTTGATATCAATCTTCCTTGCCACACCTGCTTGCTGGAAGTATGGGCGATTGATTCTGGCAAGGTAAGGTTCAAGTTCCACAGTTGTTATCTTCTTCGTCCATGGCGCGAGAGCCAAGGAGACCGTGGTTGTTCCCGTGAACATGCCCACTTCGAGGATGCGCTCTGCCTACATTGAGCGAGTCAGAACAAATTAGGCCCATATTGGGTGTGATGCAGGCGAAATTGGAAGATGGCTGGTGGTATCGGAGGGGATGCGAGAGCCACACAATATCTTCACGAAGCGAAGAGATACAAGAAAGTGCAAGCGAGCCCATACGTAGGAAAGAAAGAAATTATGCTATGGGCTTACTTTGGACATCCTGGCCAAATGGGACAAGGCGACAGCCTCGTATCCTCCAGCGCTCATTTCAGGAATCAGTCTGAACTTGGTCTTTCCCTCTTTATGGAGTCGTTCCCAATCACGCTCGTTTCCTTCTTTCAGCATCTTCTCCACGATGGGGTGCGGCGGCGAAGACATCCTTGCCACGTATTCATCATAACCGTCTACGACGCGTCGGGCTTCGTTCGCCAAGGCGAGTGCCTTGGCCAACCCAGGCGAGGTTTCCTGGACGGACACAGGCATCGAATCGAGCTCGAGGCAAAGATGATGGATAAGGTAGGCAAGTCGATCATTTGGAGTGTCGCCAGGCTGTCCATGTGCGTTAAGAGTTGGTATTGTGCAAGACATAAGTCGAGAAGTGCCTGGGGAAGACTGGCACGCTGAACAAGTTTGTAGGGACGCGAGGTGCTATGGCACTCAGGCTGCGCTGCTTTATGGTCGAGTCAAAAGCCTTCCGATTTCGGACAGCGTGCGTCGATTCGAGTCTCGTAGCCCATCTTGGACTTCGGAAAGGAGATGCGAAAAGAACTGGTATGCACTTTGCAGTTTCCTTTCAGACCGTACCGTGCATGGCGCATGTACCTTGGCAATTCCCGAAAAGGCAAGCATGATGCTGAGGGTGGGCGGACGTCGGTTACATGAGTTCGCTGAACGGCTACGGATATTGCGTCAAGAATGCATTTGGATTGTGAGTTTCCATCTCTTGAGGATGTGTATCGTTACTCATGGGAACGGACGCTTCGGAATTGACAATAGCCTGTTCTTCCTCTGAAGCTTATTTCGATTTCGCCAGCTGCTTACTCTTTGCCACATCTTGCTTTTACTATGTTCACGCAGCGACTATCCTGTGTTTGGTGCAATGTCCCCGCCAGAACCCAGGATGGCATATTACTGTGGTTGCTACCTCCGCGATCCAGCGCAGAGAAGGAGCCGTGACCACTTTACGCTGCTTCTTCTGCGCCACTCAACGTTGCGGACGTTCCATGCTCCTCTTTATCCGCTTAGAATCATGCGAACAACGCGCACGTTGCTTGCTATAGTATCCAAGACCGAGGACTATAAGAGTACGCCTAATCATGCCGAACTTCTCCATCGTCCGGTTGACTCACCCTTCATTCTTCATTCATTGAAGTCTCGACGCTTATCGAAACTCATATCTATCGTCTGACCAATTTCAAACCTGTGCATCATGTCCGACCTGAAAGCTTCCGTTACCAAGACCTCGAATGGCTTCTCCGTTTCCGGCGTCGAGCAGATCAACTACGGTTCTTATCTTATACTACGTCTACGTGATCTCCGCTAACCTTCCGAATAGGGTTCCAGTTCGTAGACAACATCTTCTCCACCGAGCACAACCATCTCGCGAACGTCTACAAGACTTGGGGCCGAGTTCTGCTTGTGACGGACGCCATTGTCCACAAGCACTACTCTGCCGCCTGGGAGGCTTACTTTAAACATCATGGTATAACCCTCACAACGTTCATCATGGCGGGCGGTGAGAAGAATAAGACGATGAAGACGATGTTGAGTATCGTCGATGCTATGAACAACTTTGGAATTGTTCGCAAGGAACCCGTACTTGTTGTTGGCGGAGGGTAAAACTGACCTGACTTCCTCTTTGAATACGAGGATCTGATACACTACGTAACAGACTTTGCACAGATGTCACTGGGTATGCCTGTGCATCTTACCGTCGCACCACCAACTTCATTCGGGTTCCAACCACCTTGATTGGACTCATCGATGCGGCAGTCTCCATTAAAGGTATGGGTGATGTACCATCCCTTCTCTCCACTTACTCAGAGTAACACGGATCACAGTTGGCATCAACCATGGAAATCTCAAGAACCGACTTGGAGCATACCATGCTCCCCTGGTGACCTTCCTCGACTTCAACATGCTGAAGACCTTGCCCGAAGGACAAGTCCGAAACGGCTTCGCTGGTATGTTTGCATCTAAATTTGACATAGGGCGTATCTTTAACGTACAACCTCAGAACTCATGAAGATTTCCTCTTGCGCTGACAAGCGTATCTGGGACCTCTTGGTTGCGCATGGCAAAGCTTTGATTGCAACTCGTTTCGGTCGTATTGATGGTGCCGATCCTGAGCTCAAGAGTGTTGCTGACGAGATTTGTTGGCGCGGCATCAAGGTCATGCTCGATGCAAGTATTCACATCATTATCACCGTGCATCGTGACGAAATACTCACTATGGTGATGCGTTATAGCTCGAAAGTCCCAACCTTCACGAAATTGGTCTCGATCGCGTGATTGCGTTCGGGCACTCCCTCTCACCGACGCTCGAACTCACCCCCGTCGTCCCTCTGCGTCATGGTCACGCTATCAACATCGACATGTCGTTCTTTGTCACCTTCGCTGCTCACCGTGGCATTTTGACTGAAAAGGAGCGCGACGAATACCACGAGCTGTCTCACAGGGTCGGTCTGTCTATGGATCACGAACTTTTCACCGAGCACTTGGTAGTAGAAGGAACCGAGGCGATTTTGTCAGTGATACTTGATTGACCAACGAACGTTCATGCTGACACTTAGCTTACTTTACAGGAAGACCCGAGACAACAAACAGCGGTTCGCTGTTCCTGCTCCCTATGGCAAATGTCAGTTCATCAATGACGCGTCTTTCCCCGAACTCTTCGAGGTGCTCGCGATTCACAAGAAGTTCATCAAGGAAAAGTACGGCAGCGGCGATGGCAAGGATGTACGTACTCTCAATTGAGCGAGCGTCATTAGGTACTGAGGTTTTGTTCACAGGCCTACGTTGATGTCGGCGATTTGGGCATGGACCCTGAGCTCCTCCGCCAGAAGGCTGCCTCGCTCTTCTCCACTGTGCAGAACGGCGCTGCTAAAGCCGTCGATGATTTGGTCGCCACCGCTGTTGAAGTGCAAGCATGAATACCCACGTGGAACGGGAGAGGGACCTTGCGTGTTGATGTGCGAATGGCATGCTGGCGTTCTCCTGACGAGTGCTCGAATTTTGGTGCCATTTGTTGCTGCAATAGGAGTAGAGTGTGTGTTTCCTGGTCGTCCCTCTCCCGATGTCTCTGTGTTACGTCTCTGTACTGGTATAAAGTTCGTCCCAGAAGTCGTGGTAGATATTTGTATCACAGCGCAATACCACCTTACTTCGCCATCCTCGTTAAGGAGCCGGATTCTCGTCCAGCACATATCCTCCACCCGTCATTGTTAGTGAGGACCCACGAGATCTCTGCATAGGCTCGTGTCCGTGCCAGGTTGAACTGACGGTGGTGTATTAGACTTGTACATACAAACTAGTGGCGGCGCGAAGAATTGTCCGGCGATACCAGGAAGAACTACGTAGCTCATGGATGGAAAGAAAGCAAGTGTACATATGGAAGAACAGGGATAGCGATGTGTGCAAAGTTCATGCGACCGACACGGTACGCGTGAAATTGAGCAGTCGTCACTGCAACATAGGCAAACTTGAAATGGCAGACGCTGTTGACCG